TTTTTGGCCTAATGGTTAGCTCGTGTCTGATTAAATCATGAAAAAGATGCTCTTAGAAAGCACAGATTTTGTAGATACTCCAAACTACCTTATTTTCACAAGAGACAAATTTTTGTGAGTCAGTGAAAATTTTGGAGCAGTGAAAATTTCTCTAGGTCGTACGATAGGGAGTTTCAACGACGTTCACAAAATATATTGCCTTCACAAATGCCATAAAATCCTGAAATTGTAAAATTTTCTAGTGATTTACAGTATGTAATACATTATTTGTCATCAGCATGCCATGCTTGAAAGATACTTGTCACAGATTTATTAAGAAAGTACCGAGTATGGATAGCATGATGACTGACAGAGATGGGGGACAAATTAATGTCTGCATTTGAAGTTTTGACGATTTTAATGGGTGTATATATTTTATTATAAGCATGTACAAAATGAGATAATTTATTACATAACCTAGACAGACAAAGGCATTGTTTTTCCTTGCCATAATTATGCATAACTACATGTATGCCTGTAACTTCATGCTGGAATCCTAATAAATAAGATTTTAAAGTTCACAACTGACTGATTTTTTTTGCATGGTAAAAGTGAGCATGAAAGTCATGAAATATGGTGCAATAATATACCTAAAATTTTTTGCATGAAAATACTGATCAAATATGTTAATAGGTTATCATAATTAAAAACAATTAATGAAAACATATCGGTTTTATACTGCACTTATCTAATTGATAGAATATATCACCATGGAGACCATATTACTAACATCTGGTTCAAATGCCGTACAATGATCAGGTACAATAGTCATAGAATCATCATCCACTCCCACGGTTTTGTATCCTTTAACCCTTTCTCCATGATTATGTAGAGGCAATGAGCTGGACGATTATACTTTGAAAATTAAAGATGCAGTCGGATGCAAACATTTACTAGCAATACATACTTCTGCTTCTATATGCAAGGAACAGCCTGACATGTAGCGCCCTCGCCGGCCGGCGTCAGACCTAACTAATGCCTGACAGAATAGTGTATGTCTCGTTGGCAAGATCAATACTGCAAATTTGCAAAGTTCACACCTTTTTTTGCAATGAGTTTCAATGAATATTCATTTTGGTGATCATGGTAACAGACTGTTTTCAACAAGATGATAAACATTGGGTGGAAATTTGCCAGCGCCTTATCACACATTATGTCAACAAACTAATCTCTGTCGTGAATGGTTACTCTTTGATGGCTTTCACTATCTGATGTGCCTGCAATTTTATTGGTGTTGACAAAAAATCGTTGGGGGGAGTGAAACACTGCATCATTTTGTCAGGCGTGTGTTGGGTTTGGAGCACCGCGGAGGGCTAATGCAAGGAGCTGATTGCACTCTACAATTTTTCTCAATTGTTGGAACTTGTATCACAGCCAGAAATGAATTGTTGCATTTCATAGATATGCTGGTATTTAAGGCAATGCCTTCAATTGTAAATAGCCTGTGGTTAGTTTTTTTGTTGAAATGATAGCGCCCTCTAGTGAAATAAACAAAAGTCATTCAGATCATCAGATGAACTGTTGGTGGCAGCATTGCAACTGGAATTAAAACGTCGGATACAAATGCATTGTTTTCACAGAAGACTTTAATTAATTTTATCTTGAAAAAACACAATAGATAACATTACCAATGTCACTGTATAATGTAAAACAAAATGTGTAGCAGTTTTAAAAGGCATATTGATTCTAAAACTGTCGCAGAGACATAGAAAAATAAATCCTTCATATGTAAATAATGTTCATTCTTAGTACTTTCAGACAACATTCCTCAGTTGTAGAAAAACCAAATTGTACTATTACCTTGTTTACACAGCAGCATTTTAGCAGATCCAAAGAGCTTGAGCTGGCAAAAATGACCATGTAAACGCATTTACTGGCTCCAATAAACCCTTAGGGTTGAACTCTGATAAGACAAAGCCCCAAAATGACCCGACCAAACGAGAACGCCCAGGAGCAATATTTTGGCCCCGATAGAATGCTACTGTGTAAATCTAGCAAATGCGTCCTAATTTACTAATCTATACTAATATGATATTATAAACAGACGTTTCACTACATACATTCCTTGCTTGATTAACAGAACTAAAGTGCCAACAATCCCATTGTAAAAATAGATTTTCCAAGAATCAGCTATTCCATGAATTGATGAATTTAACAAATTTGCTAAAATAACATACTTGCTAAAAATATGCATTTCACATTGAATACACAACTGTTGATCTGAGACCAGTACTGCACCAACATCAAATTATCAACAAGACCATAGACTCTATAACAAGACCTGCAATCCTCAATTTTAAAGGGCGGCAGTCGTCGTGCCGCGGCCTGTTCGATATGGGATTCATAGCGACGAATGCAACGCGTGTAAAATACATTGTTTATTTACATGAAATTTGAACACGCGCTGCGCGACGACCACCGCGCTTTAAAAAGGTAAATAATTGAACATTCAATAAGTACCAGAAAGAAGATTGCTACTCTACAGTCACAGTATATTCACTGAAATTATCATACTGCAGCACTCCTGACTCATGATTCCAGAATAACATTTTTGAATAAATGTGGGTCTTGTATTCATTATACTTGGAAGGAACTGGTTACAAGTGAATCACACAAATACAGACTATGGATCACCTATGTAAACTGACAGGCCTTGTATCATCAAGTACATGTACCATTGATAGATAGCTGCAAGTCGAAACCGATATCTAATACTTGTCTAATCTGAGACGTCAACTTACTATAGAGCCTATGATCTGAATCAACAAAACCAATTTACAGTAAAGGTCACTGATACAAAAGTTTGAAATCTACATTACAGGCTAACCATAATGCATGCATAATGAAACACATCATGTAATACAGGTATACATGGCATATGAATTTCACGTAAAAATCAGTTATTTATATGTACTAACCCTCCATGTATCTATTTACAAAATTACTGCAGTTTTATACGAGATTGGTAAAATGTTCTTATAAACTTTTCAAATATTAGCACAAAATATACAATTGCATTGTGTGGTTTATAATAAATATTATGATATACAATCAGAACAAAGGCAGCATTCATTGTTCTATTTTAATTAGGGTAGAGAAAAGACACTAGAGACCAGAGTTGCCTGTCTCTGTATTCTCTAGTATCTTGTGGCAGACCCAGATATAGAACCATGGCTTGTATATCGTTGTAACTAAGAAATGTGACAAAGATCTTGTTTTGTAACCTATAGATTCAGCTGAAGTAAAGCTGGATTCAACACATTTGCTCGAATTTCATTTCAAAGAGACAATAGAAACAGAATTATAAACTTTATCAAGTCAATAAGAGCACTAAGAAAAATCAAATTAATTTCAATGAATGCTACATGTGACTGTTTACCACATGGCCTGTACATGATATGTGCACATGTATTACTAACCCCCAAACTGGCATTAATCTACACTGCGCATCATTGCACTCAATATTATGGTAATGAGAAAGGAAAATAAGTTAAAGAGCTGTGGAGAAATAGATGATTTCCCGGTTATGTGAGATCTTTTGTGAAAGACGTGTATCAAACGTCTGACGTGAAAATCAAATGATTTGATTTTTAATTTTTGTTTTTATAGTTCAATGTAAAAAAGCCAATCATTCAAAAACAAATATAGCATTAAGATATTCCTACTTCATTTGAATAGACTATTATCAAATAAATATTGTACCATATTATTATTTTGTGTTTCCCTAATTCCACACGATATTTGACGTCACTATGATGCTATAACCATTGTTTGTCTTGTTATTTCATTTGATTTCACACCTAAAGGAGGGTCTCACAGTGAATGGAAAATAGTCTATTGATGTAAAATGATCAAGGAAGAAAATAACGTTTTGGTCATCATCAAAAGGTCGATTCATTTCTAATATTCATTTTCTGTATTAGAGCTACTACATGGCAGGTTAATAAACGATGTATCAAAATGAGATGCATTCCCAAACAGGGCCTACAATGCTAGGTTTTAAACAAAGCACCTGTTAGCACATGCATAAATACCATTAATGCTAATACATTTATTTACATGAATAAAATTCATAATTAGCAGTAAATTCATCGGGAAATGTACAGTTTTTTGTTTTGGAAAACAGTAATGTGTTATAAGCACTAGATGCATCTCGTGGAAGCCAACTTAATTTTTATAATCAAACAAAGCTCACATAGTGTGCATTACACACAGGAGCCAATGAAATGATAGGCACCATAATTAATGATATTCAGCAACAGATTTGACAGCGATGGGTCATTTGAAAACCATCTCTAATAAATCCAACCTTCTCTTAATCTCTTTTCTGATGGAAAGAATCCAGTCAAGGAAAATATCTAGAAATAAAAAAAACACACATTTTTCCATCCAATCCCTCCCAGAATGGATCTTAGACATAAATATAGAGCGTAAACTGTAGAATACACAATTACCAAATACACCACTTATTGAAAAACTTTTGTTATTATTTGAAACTTGTTCTATACTTTTATTTACAAACAAAAATAATTATTATGATTACCGGTAATAATATTATAACCACCACATATTTTTTGTTTGTGACGGATATTTTGGAACCAATTGAAGGTAGTTCATTCTCATCTGATGCCTAAATTAGAATATTGACAGCAATATTTTGTTATTTTGGAGCTTCTGTCATTGTAAAGGCTATAATGCTTTGAAATATTGATAACAAAAATGCACCAAAAGATCATTCTGTGTGATGTCTTGGATCAAGCACTCTGATTTCCAATAGACAAACAAGATACATGTATTCAGTAGTATAAACAATGGACAGCTAACTTTGATTTATGACACTCCCACCGTCATCATGTATCTTGTTAATAAATTATTGTGTGAATCTACAAATATACAAGAAAACTGGATCATATAGCAGGCCTTGGTTTATGCTATCTTACAAAAAACAAGTGGGCTAAAAATTGATTCACATCAAGGGTTAGACACATTGTAAAAAACAAAGGATACATTTGTCTTGAAAGCTGATAAATTGGCTGCATATTCTTGTTCAGTTCTTCACATTTGGCTATTAAAGTGTACATTGACTGGAAATGAACACAATTATAAACGCAATCAGATTCTGGCCACAAAATTGCAAGAGTTGATAGTGAATCAAACAACTGACGATATCCAAGTTTTTTGTAGAAATTTTTATTTCATGTGGGGTCACTACACTTTATCAGTATGCATGTGACGCAGTATGGTCTTAATAGACCTTTGACAGACCTGTATCATTGCGCACTAAATTTTCATACTTAAGTTCTTTGTCGGGAGGTATTTTCAAAATAAATTTCATTTTCTTATTCATTTTTGTATTATATTATATATATAGTTTGAGATTATTTATTATTTTTTTTTAAATTACACAATGTAGGCATTACTTTTTTTTTTATAGTGACACAACTGTTTACTTGTTTTACATATATAGTCTTGTACATAATCAGAAAACAAAATATACCATAGTAAACAAGTATCAATTTTGTTTTAATGTAAAAGTTTTACATTGATGCATGTCTACAAATAAAATAATCCATACACAGTGACTGTCATTCTTGTAAAATCCAACATTGAAAAGCAGCAAATTTTGCAACCATTGACTTAACTCTGCTTCTGTAGATGTGAAATTATGGCAAGTCATGTCACTTTTGCTATTTATTTTGCGGCATGTTTAATTTTTTACAAAATGTGAGTCATTTTCATAAGAGGTTGGGAATTCTGAAAGACATTGTTCGTTACATTTGAGTATTGAGATGACTTTATTGCTAGAGCTGCCCTTCATTGCTGCATCTTTAGTTCTGACAATATTATGGTCAAATCATCTACAATTTGAACTGTTTCATTTCCAATGCAGGTAAGTTTTGTATAATAATCAGCAGTGTTGATGATTAGTGATTGACATGGACTTCATATGCGTGACCAGTTCACAGGATCATATAACCCAAATTGATAAGATTGGAAAATCGTGTCACTGCTGGAATCAAACATCCCACCAAGGGAGTCAAGATACATTTGTAGATTGTATCAGATTAAACAGACTGATTAGGATTCAATATGACTCACCTTAACAGAATTGTCCACTGCTTCTCCCATTCCATTCACTGAATCTCTATGAGTTTGTATGTAACCAACACTAATAGCAGACATCTGAAATAGAAAGAAACAGAACCTGTTTTTGGTGCCTATCTAGCTTGACTTGTGGAATAAATCTACCAATTACTGATGTTATTTCTGTGCTAGACAATATTGTAATATGACAATCTGAGTTGTTGGTAAAATAAAAAGTCAATAAAACAGATAAACCAAAGATGAATATGTTCACTTACATTGTGTAAAGTTCCTTTTAGATTTCCCATCATTAAATCCAAATTATCAGCAACTTTTTTCGCCTGTTTTTCTAAATCTTCAAGAATGTGTGGATCAATTTTAGGAATTGTACTTTCATCTTTAGCTATTTTTTGAACTCTTCTTGAGCATTCTGAAAGATTTGAATCTGGCAAAACAAAAATAACTTAATATATCTAAATGCACTGTAAACACTTACCTCAATTAGAAGCACATAAAAGCAAAAAAATGTTTGTTTTGGTTGAATCTTATGACAAGTACACAAAAGTGACTTCTGAAATATTTTTTTGATAGGGATTCCTCATATGTGCTTCTAATTCAAAAAACAAAATAACTTTCTTCACATTCATAAAACACTGCGAGTTACAATTCCACACCATGCAAAAGCTAGCAATAAGACAAAAACAACTATAAATTTCAAACCTGAGAACTATTAAGATTCGGAATATACACAAAATCAATGCATCACAGTTATCACATTATGTTAAATATACCCTGTCCTATATTTTACACATATAAATCCTATTGTTTGTTCACCTGAAATTTGCAACATTCGTTGCACAGCAACTGTGGCACTTTAAACAGTAAACTCCCATGTTAAGGTATAAGACTTTGATGCAAAGACAATCATGCACACTACATGTATATATAATCAGAATGAATATTTAATTAATTCTCTGTACATGGTGTGGAGTATTCTCCCATCATGCTAAGGAATTCCATATACAGTACTATCAACACAACAATTTTTATAAATATTTATAAATTGGCAGCTGAATCCATCCAGCCAATCAATCAAGGGCATAGTGCAATGACATCATTTGAAAACCATTCGTTCCAGTTATTGAATTGTGGAATTTATAAAAATATTTATAAATAGAATGGGTTTGTTTTGTAGAAAGTACACTAGAATAATCTTAGCAAGATACAAGAGAATTGCATTTGCAGGAAACAAGGAGGTTGTATAAGTGTTAGTGCAGTGCTGACAACAATACCCAAAATTAGAAAGTAAGAAGCATGCAGATATAAAAGTATCTTTGTTAATAGATAAGGCAAACAAGTTTAATTACTAAAAAAGTATGAATATAGAAAAACGTGGGCAAGGTACTAAAAAGCATGATATGTTATAGAGCAAGGTTTAGAAGGGTCTCAATGAAAATGTCAGAATGGACAAATGTCCAAGTGTTGATTTGTTTTCTGTTCAGAAGTTACATTGTTATTTGTTTAGTCTCACTAATCAGTGTTGTTGTTGAGAGAACACAACAAAGCATTAAGAAAGCCATCACTACAGTCTCTACTAAAACATGGCAACTAAAACTACAGCTTACAGGTATTCAATGGTATCACACATTACTAAGGCTTACCACTGGACTTCAGACTTGTTGTAGGGCTAAAACTCTGTCGGATTTTCTCTTCTAAATTATCTGCTATAAATGAGACCATGTCACCCTCACGAATAACAGTACCATGCAAAGGTAGTGACCCTGATGTAGACCCATGAGGGTCTGCTCTCCACTCACCACCTTCACTCTCTTCATTTCGGGGTTTAATTCCTGATAAATCCTTTGGTCTCACAGCAGGTACAGTTTGATTTGAAACCAATGTTTTCTCTGCCTCCCCATCTGCAGCTCCCATCTGGTCGGTGTGTTGCTTACTGCATGTTTCCTCTTCATTCTCTGGTGTAATTTGAACCTGATCGTGCTTCGTCTCGTGTTGTTCACAATTTGTTTCGGTTTGTTGTTCAATAGCTTTTGCCAGATTATCCTCATTATCATCCACATTGTTTAGTACGTGCACTTCCGTACAAGCAATGGGCGGAGCCTTTCCGTTATGTTGTGAGTTTAACAAGTTAATTTTGTCAGGATTAGCGAGCACATTTTCTGACGATGTTTTACAAACGTTATTCACAGTCGCCGCACAGTCATTTTCTACAGAATCAACTTGTTGTTCTATGATGAGTTCATCGTCACCGGTGACACTTCCGCCACGTTCGCAGGATTCCGACCCATCAACATCGTCATAGTTCTCAGCACCGATCAGCAAATGACCATTCAATAAATGTTCGCCATTCGATTCTGTAGTTTCATCCATTCCATCAGTGGGACACACAATAACCCCCACTTTCTCCTTTTGTTAACGATCAATGTTCACACCATGTAAAGACTAAAGAACAACATTTCTGGTAAAAAAAAATCATACATACAACATTATTTTCGGTCATCAGTCGCCATCTTTAGAATTTGTACGCATGCGCATTTGAAGTTCATCACCGCGGAATAATCCGTGATATATTTATAAAAAATAAATGATAAGCTGAAGATGTCATGTCATTGAAAATTTGAAACACAACAAATTTTAGTATTAATTTGCGAAAAATAATCATGCTCGTTTGTTGCATTACCAAACTTACGTTTACATGGGACTATTTTGTTTGATAATTTTACATCGGAAATGCGAGATAACACATGCTGAGGTGTTGTCGGGCTCACGTGTACAACAGTTAGTACATATGCCTGCAAAGTTACATGTATGTGAGAGTAGTCTGCTCACGATTATTTTGTAAATACCATGGGTAGAAAATCCAGAAAGGCACACAGAGGTAAAAAGATGACATTGGTAAAACGTAGTGAAAAGAAGGCGAAGATGGGCGATCCGAAAACGTAGGTGTTTTAAAGATGCATGGTTATTTATAAGAGATTAGGGATCGACCATTGGAAATCATGGGGGTGGCTGAAAGATTTGTTTGAACAAAAAGTTGCAAGCTAGACACCGAAAGAAAAAGAATGCATGCAAGGTGTTGCAGGGAAAAAAACTGAAATAAAATAAAAATATTTAGATAAGACATGCAAAAACATAGCTGTGGGTCTGAAGCTCTTCTTGTGTTAGTATATGTGATGGTATTTTTGTCATTTATGATATATTTTGTGTCATTAAATTTGTTAATTTCAGACGTTAGGATTCTTATTTTTATTTCCTAATATCACACAATCAAAACTATCACCAATTAATAATATTGAACACTTACCAGCATGAAAACCATGACAAAAATGATCCGTTTGAAGTTGATTTTGTTGACATTTATTTGCAATACTGTATAATATATGTATCAAAAATGACTAAAATATATCATCACAAAAACTAAAGACCAACACAAGAAGCACTATGAACCCACAGCTAGGGTCTCATGTTTACAAATTTGCTTATTAATTTCCTCATTTTAACCTAATTTGAAAACTGCTTTATAGATTGGTAAGAATGGTTATATTCCCCGATGCTCTTCAAATTTGTTGTGGGGATGTTGTTTATAAATAAATAAACCAGTTTGGTTACACTTACAGTAATAACAATTTTCATCTTCTACTTTAATATATAGGAATGGTAACCATGGGGATGGACCAAGTCAAACCAAAAAACAAAAGATTGAAAGTAAGAAAATGAATACTGAAGACAATGCTCACGTTTTCACTGTTGAAATGTTTCCAAAAAGTATAAAAGACAAAAGATCAAAAGACAAAGAACGAGTACATTTATCAGATATGGAATATAAAATGAGTAAAGAAGGAAGGGGAGCAGAAAAGAAGTTATCAGAGTCTGTCAGAAGAGGTGTTAGCTTAGAGCGTAGTGAGAAAAGGAAAAAGAGAAGAATTGACAATGAAGATGGATCTCAGTTAATGAGCAGTAGCAATGATGAGAAAGGAGATACATTCATTGAAACATCACTTGAAAAGCACTCTAGGACAGATATACATGTACACAGTGTAAATGTTGATTCCATGCCATGGAAACAAGATGAAACGAAAAGAGGAGAAATAAACCTGAGTGGTCTGAAGTAAGTATTTTGATGTAGAAAGAACTATTGATTGGAATTTATCTTGGAGATGTGGAACTATATGGCTATGTATCCTGAACTACATTTATTAGGTATTTTAGATTTTGTGTGAGCCTTAATAGAAACAAACTAATTTATCTCATATGTAATTAAATAGTTTTATTGATAATTAATTCGTGTTTCAGGTTTTTTAGTACAGGAATTTCAACTGAGTGCCTTGCAGTCATGCAGGACCCGTCTGAAATGCACTTTCATGGTAAAGTGTCTATGCAGGTCGTTTCTGGTTCAATAAGTGTGCTAGGACATTGCATATCAGCTGGCAGCAAAGAGTTCTCACTATACTCACCATATTGTACATCAGCTATGTCAGTTAAAACTACGAAGACTTTTACCAATGACGGCTTTTCTGACAGCAAGTTGAGGAAAACATTAGAAGATATTTTAGTACATGCCGACTCTAATACATTGAGCAATGTGTTAAAGAAAATGACTTCACATACAGTAGTTATACTATTTAAAAAATTAGTATGTCCTGCAACAAATTATGTCACCAGTTTTGACTTCTACAATGAACTATTCACAAGACCCATCTCTGAGGTAAGTTTGGCAAAATTTATCATCATTCTTTCTTTAATACTTTCGTTTTAAGATTTGGTACTGTAAAGCTTTACTAGATTTTCTGTTATTTTGGGTCAAACAGACAGAACATATCAGTGCTTCTAGATTTAATTCTGTCACAAATTTTAATCAAGAATGTTTGTATAAATGAGGTTTGAAATGTACTTATTTTATGAAATCATAACCATTTCTAGAAATAATGTGTGAAATGGTGACACAAATTGAAAGTATCACAATAGTGTATATCCGTATTTACCCTTCTCACCACCAGTTCCCTCTTTTTATCAAAAATTCTCAAATAGTCCTATTTATAGTCTTAAAGCATTTCTTCAGAAGATTACGACAGAAATAGCCAGGTTTTTTGAGTTAAAAATGAAAATTGATTCAACTTTTGTCTGTTAGCTCCAAAATTAGATTTCATTATCAGAAATATTAAAGAAAATAAGAAAAAAGTGCTGAAAAATTTGTTGGTGAAAAGGATAATGTGTTTGTAAACTACCAGTAAATAAGCCATATTTAATGATTTATACAATAAATGCTATTTTTCTCTTGAAAATACAAGTGCATGTGTACTTCTTGTGGAAATTTGCGTCTGAAAAAGCAAATACTGTTACAGTAGTTCTTTTCTCTATTTCCAAAATTTGTCTGTCAAAATTATTAGACAAGTTAGCTGTAAGGTTCCTAATGAAGTTTAGCTGGCAATGTTAATGTTTTTGTGTTTTGAACAATATGGCGGTGACAGTAATACTAGAAAGAAGAAGAAATACTGATAAAACGTCAATTTTATTTTAAACTTGTCTATAGGACCTGGAAGTGTGTTCTCCAGTAACATTTCCTTCATTTAATGCCACGTAAATATAAGAATGAGTAAACTCACTGTATATTTATCCCACATGAAATTATGCCGACATATGTTTTTATATATTGCTTTTACAGGTAGATTATAATAAAGAATTCGATGTAGCATCATCTATTGGTTTGCATGTGGTGACAGATCCAGGAAAACCATTGTTTTATTTACAGTCTGAATTGAAAGACATTACAAGAACTCTTCTCAAGTCAACAGTGACTCGCCCAGTAGTGCTAGTTTGTGGTGGAAAAAATGTTGGTAAATCTACATACTGTCGGTATCTCATTAACTCCTTCCTAAACAAGTAAGTATTTCCGATTTAAAACAAAAAAAAATCATTTGGATTAATTCTTAAGACAAAATATAACACGGGTGTGCATTCTGTGACAAGTGATCAAATGCAATATGGTCGCAACATCTTTTTTAACAACATCACATGTATCGGGGTACATGCACATGCTCAAACTTTGACCAATTTGTTTCATTTCAGAGAAAACAGCATTGACTACCTGGAATGTGATGTAGGACAAACTGAATTCACTCCCTCATCGATTATTTCTCTCACAGAAGTCAAAGAACCATTACTTGGTAAGCTAGTTAATAGTTGCCTGTATTAACAGTGTTATGGACCTAATATTTTTAGTCCCCGAAAACGGGGACTTATGGTTTGCCCTGTGTGCGTCCGTGATCACCTGTATCTCGAACATGCATGGACCGATTAAGTTCAAACTTCACTTATACATCACACATTATATGGGACATATGCACATGCATTTTTTTCATGATCCGATTACCGATGGCCGAATAGCGGCCATTTTAAGGCCGAAAATGCATCAAAATCACACATTTTCACCATTCAGGACCCGGATCTCAGTTATGCTTGGACGGATTTTGTTCAAATTTGGTACATACATTAAACATATTAGGACCTTGATGCACGTCATTTTTTTTTTTTGGATCGGGTTTGAAATGACTGGCGGCCATTTTGTTTTAAAGAATTCAGTTCTGGATTCGTATCTGAGACATGCCTGGATTGATCGAGTTCAAACTTCACACACACAAGGTACATCATGTCACAAATATGTATGGGATTTGTTTCATAATCTCATTAACGATAGCCAAATGGCGGTCGCTTTAAGGCTGAAAGTGGTCTGAGATTTCGGTCATGATCTGCTTTGAATGTATATGTCACTCAAATATGAACGGAATGGGGACGTGCCATTGACAATGACTTGTTATCAAGATAATTTGGGTAATGCTAAATAGTTTTAAGAAAATTTTATCTTCTTGGTTCAGAAATAAATGTGATATATCGCATATATCGCACAACATGATTAAATACTTTTATACTGTTTACATTATAGAGAATAATGTAATGTGATAGAAAAGTTTATGAAATGGGGAACTTCAGGATTTTCTTGATAAATAAAAACAAATTCACTATGTGCTTATAATATAATATAATATAATATAATATAATATAATATAATATAATATAATATAATA